GTGCAATACTGGAAACCAGTAACCACCAGCAGAAATAATGCCTGTAACCTCAAGCAGTCCACACAGGCACAAGTTAAAAAGAAAAATAGATGAGGCGGGGAAAGGAAAACACTGGCGATACTGAGAGTTGGGCTGCAGTCGCACGTCTGTCTCTTCAGCAAAACGCCGGGCTCCAGCAGCCTCTGCCGTCCCTAGAGCCCCTCTGCCGCCCCAGCCCTGCCCCCGAGCCAGCCTTTCTGGCTTGGCTGTTTCTCAGGCAGACCGGTTCCCCATCCCAATCCCAACCCGCATTCCCGCCCAGAGCACGGCGACAGAGGAGGAGGAGGCCGGCAGCAGGGACCTGAAGGCTGCCCCCGCCGCTGCTGCTCAGAGCCCCCCGGGAACCCCTGTCACACCAGGAGGCCCCGTTAGCACCACGTCCCTCATTAGCGCTACGTCCCTCAAGTCCCGGGACCTTCCTCCTACACCTGCTCCGCCAGCGTGGCCCAGCTCTCCTCCCGTTCCTGGTTACTCCTCCGGGTTATGGTAGCATTCCAAAGCACCGGGTAAGATCGGTGGGCGTCTGTGCGGGCAGGAGAAGAGAGCTCACCCTCTGCTCTGCACTTGGCCAGGTCTCGGGAGCTGCTGAAGGCAAAGGAGCTGGGCCGCAGTGCTGGCGAGGCTCCGCGTCCTGCTTCCAGCAGGCTGGCTGGCTCGGTACGGCCCCACGCCAGCACTGCTCCCCTGCACAGCACGGCCGCAAGGGTCCGAGCCCCCGGGACACGCGCTGGGGCTGACCGTGGAGAGGGACCCGATGCTCCCCACGCCTTTCAGATCTGCCAACCCCATGGGCCAGTCTCAAAAAATCCCCAAGGATCCCTTGACTCAAAGTCAAGGAGCAAAAGAAGCCAGGAGAGGGGAAGGAGGCTGAGAGGAGTGGGCCTGCTTGCGGTCATCCATCAAGCTAGCACTAGGAAGAGTAAGGGTGTTCAAAGTATTAGGGGGACACATCCTGATATCTATCTATCTATATATATATCTCCACTGCACAGAGCAGGGCCCTCTCGTTTGGCTACAGGCTATCCCTACTGTCCGGATTTGTTAAACCGTCGTTGACATTTAGCTCGATACTACAAGGTCTAAGGCCCGAATCCAAACAGTACAGTCAAGCTGGGGGACAGTGATTGTGGACTGTAAAAAAATATCCTTTGAGAGTTCCTAGAAGAGCAGAATGAGTTTAAATTATATGTTGATGGAATGCTTTTGTGCAAGCAGAGTATTAACTGACTACAGCACCGTTACCAGCAGAGGGAAATAATTCAGTACAGATAGCAGATGTGGAGCACCTTCAAAACTACCATCTTATCACCCCTAGACTACTGTGAAAACAATTCATTCAACAGACCGGCCTTTTAAGCATGGCTATTGTATGGGCATGACCCACTTTGTACATACAGAGTCGCTGCTGAGGCTGATTATCTTCCTGTTGCAAATTCTCTGTTGTCAAGACTGAAGTGTAGAACAAAGTTTCTGAGCCAAAGATTGAACCACATATATCATTCCCGAACCTCACGTTTAAAATGAGAAGTTAGTTTCAAATAAGCGTAGTTTAAAGACTATAAGCAGAAAACAAAATAAAATTAATATATTAGTACTAATGCCGCTCCTTTACTTTGGTCTCTTACAGTTGAAGCCTGGATGTTTAGAGTCTTTTCACTTCCTGAAGGCCATTAACCTACAGCATAAAACAATTGCTTTGGCAAGACTGGGGATTCGGTGCATGGACTGATACTTTACACACTTTGCTCGCTCTCTAGCCCACTACTTCCCTACCCGCCAAAATTTGTATAATATTATTGTACAAGTGCAGGCACAATGACTGCAAAATGGTTACAGACTGCTGTACCCATAAGCAACGCACCCGATAAGCATCCTCAAGAACACCCTCAGAACAGCATTTGCCTCATTACCTATTTATTAAGAATTTAACATCAAGTTTTTAATGTGAATCAAGACCTTTAGGGGCTGAAAAACTGCACAGCAAGTGCCAGATAGCCCATAAAAGCTGCTCTGTCAACAAGGATGGGGGACCAGCTTCCTTCTAAAATTCCCCTCACAGTAGCCCATTCCACCATGACCTCTGAGCAGGATGGCTGCTCTGGTGACAGAGTTGAAGCTCCCTAAGCAGGCTTTGGCACACCAAGTCGTAATGCTCCTCCACAAGCCATTACAAGTCTGGCATATTAATGATACAGCCAAGGGCTAGTTAAACTTGGTAACATGTAGGTGAAGTTTTATAAAGGACGTGTTTGCTCATTTGTCTCCTCAGTCTTAACTGGGAAAACAAAAATCTCATTCTGGAACCTGCAAGGACAAAACCTGATTTTTTGTTTTACTAATAGTAAGGATGTTAATCTTTTAAGTGTAAGAAAACACAGTCATGCTTTGGGGACCAAAACTGGACAAATGCTGCTTTTTCAATATGAGTTTCATATTTCCGCTACTTACCCTTTTTTTCTCTGCTTCTCTAAAGACATTACTGACTGTGGGCAGGCTCTTGGCCAGCCCTTACTCTGAAGAGTAAGAGAAAAACCACAGTCTTGAAACTGGAAAATAAGGGGGTGTTTCTTCCTGCCTGCAGTCAGCCCCTTAGGGTCACCCACCTGGGGAACCTGGACTGGGGGGTGGGTGCGGAGGTGCTTCCCCCTCCCTTCTTGGAGCCACATGCCTAACTTCAGCCCAGAAAACCAGCTGAGAAGGGCACAAATCTACAACCATTAACACTTCACGCAGGGCCGTGCGTCCTTACGTGCTTCTTCCAGGCGGCACCAGGATGATGCTTCACAGTCAAAGCCACATTGGGGTGACCGTGTGTCCGTTGTGGGGGAGCCATGCTTTCAGCACCCCCCCCCCAGCCAGCCAGGCTGAGGGGCCCACACAGCAGCCCTGTGGGTCTTCGGGACTCCCCGGATAATCGCTGCCTGCTGCAATCCCAGCCCCGAGTCAAGCTAGCAGCCGTGGGAGCACGGCCCCGGCTCCTTCCTGCCGCCCATCTTGTGCCAGCCCCGGCACACAGGCAGACGACAACACAGCTGAGGCACAGACGAGCCAGAGCGGGTCTCTGCTTACAGGGGAAAAAGTCGAATTGCTTGCTGGGTGAACGCTGATGCCAACACAGAAAACAGGAGGCAGGAAATGGTCAGTGACGGACTAAGCAGGAGACTGGGACCATCCCCTTTTGGTTAAGGGTCTGCACCTGGATGGGCTTCAAGCAACTGCAGACGCACCCACCGAATGCCCCACAGCCCCGCCTCTCAAACTGCCACCTCCTGGGGTAAATTTTCACCTTTTCAGTTACATCTGGAGTTTATAGGTTAAGTTTGTCAGAAAAAGATAGTGAGGAATGGTACCACCCCAGGGAAAGGAAAAGTGCTTTTTGCATTGGCAGTGAATTCAGGTAACTTATTTACCAGCAGGTGCATATCTAGATGTATATTGTGTCGTTGTGTTTAATGTGATCAGGTGCAAGGAACAAGCAGACAGGAGCAGTGTGGACAGTGACGCAACCCAAAAGAAGCAAGTTTGGTGGAGGGATTCAGCACAGAAGAGGACAGTGTCTAAGGCCTCTAAATTAACTCCCTGTTAAAGCTGTTCTTTACTCTGCATTAACAGGAAGGATTGTGAAATTGATTTCTCTCCTTTTTTTTTAAATCACCCTTTGCAATCCTCAGTTAAAGAGCTCCTTCCAAGTCTTGTTTCCTCGAAAAACAAAGCAGTCTTTCACGTGCATAGTTAGTTGCACAGCCTGCGTGGTCCATGTGCTGGCCATGTGCATGGTGATTTGTTTTCCTGTGCTGGGAAGAGGGTTCAATCTGGGACACTGAATTCTAACATGCTGTTTTAAAAGTAATCACGGTTTCAGACCTGACTAGCCCTAGCTCTGTTTACACTGGCGAGTGAGAAAATCTACTCATGAATTATCCCCACTGCAGTTCTATTAGTCCTCACACGCTGGCTCGACACAGGCAATTTACAGTCGTCTCTTCCAGCAGGGTTAAATGGTACAGTGAGTGTAATACGCTGGCCCTGTTTACCCTGGAGATTACGCTGCTGGTAACTTTGATGCTCCCCTGCCACTGCTGAAAAACAGGTACAGAACTCCCTAGTGCTGATGCATAAG